TATGGCCAAGGAGTCTAGCAATATTGTGTGATGCCATTCGGGCTTAGCAATGCTCCAGCAACATTCGAGAGGCTGATGGAAAGAGTACTGGAAGGCCTACAATGGAGGATAGCCTTAGTGTTCCTGGATGATGTCATAGTGTTTGCAACAACGTTTGATGAGGAAATGTTTTGGCTAGAGGAAGTATTCAAGTGTTTGAAAGCAGCAAACCTGAAATTCCATCCCAAGAAATGCCACTTGTTCCAGAAAGAGATGCTTTACTTGGGTCAGATTGTAAGTGAGCATGGAGTGCGAACTGATCTTGACAAGATGAAAGCAGTGCATGATTGGCCAACACTAGACAATATGGGATCGTTAATAAGTTTCTTTGGATTCTGTACCTATTACCAAAGTTTGTGAAGGACTTTGCAACTATAGCTGCTCCACTACATGATTTAAGAAAAAAAGACCAGAAGTTGGAATGGACAGTTTCTTGCCAGCATGGTTTCAAGACATTGAAAGACAAATTGGCCTCATCTCCACTTTAAAAGCTTCCAAATCCCTCATTGCCGTACATACTGGATTGTGATGCTAGTAATGTCGGAATTGGAGGAGTGTTGTTTCAGAAAGTGGGCGAAAACGAACATGTTGGGGCATACTTCAGTAGGGTCCCGAGTAGACAAGAGAGGAACTACTGTGTAACACGGAGGGAACTGACATATTTCCATCCTTACCTCTATGGGGCTAGGTTTACCATCAGGACAGACCATGCTGCATTACGCTGGGTAAGATCATTAAAGAACCCAGAGGGACAACTGGCACGTTGGATCGGAAAGATAGACCAGTATAATTATGATATTGATTACAGAGAAGGAAAATCTCATGGAAATGCTGACGGACTGAGCCAAAGATCCTGCAAAAATGACTGCATAAATTGCTGCAAAAGAGAGGTTGAACTAACCAGGTGCCATCAAACTGAAGTTAAAGTGACTACAAAAGACATCAACTTGATGAATAACATAAGAACAACAAGGAACCATTTGGTCGTTCAAGGTTGTCATTGCTCATCAACACCTGAAAAACCGGAAAGTAACAATAAAAAATCAAACATATCCTTTATTTTTCAGGACATCACCCATTCTACTTTAAACTCACGAAATGCGTTAGCCTTCATTAAGCCGATGGCCACAAAATCTATGAGCTAAACTAAAACTGTCTTATACGGAGCCTAGTCACTCTTTTCCAAATCTTATATTTGTGTTTTCGGATAGTTCTTTTCTCAAAAAAAAGTTAAGAGATTTTAATGTCACCAATTATTTCTGTAAGAGATGGCCACTTGTTTTGATTTGTAACCATGCAGTACCTCTATAAATTCATAAAATTATATCAGATATGCTACTACCAACTGTCTGGGCGGTTTACTTTACCTTAGTTACATTATTCAGTGGCTTCCAATCTATATTAAAAAAGATACCTCACATCTTTAACTCCAAGTTTTGATGAAAAGAAAACGTAGCCACACAGTAATTTAATTATTCATTAATATTTTTAATATCAATGAATTTGTCTACATACCAATTGTATATTATATTTTCAGAGAAATAGTCCATAAATGTCAATCTAAAATGGTCTATCTTATTTCCAAAGAGGGATTATTTTAGGTGAACGTCTAGCTGGACTCTTAGTGGGCACTCTTAGTAACATGAACACCTGAGGAACACAGTCAACATAGATACTGAAAATTGAAATCACATTAAACAAACATAAGAGGGGTCGAATAACTAGGTTCACTGATAGTGACAAACGAGACTTAACATTAGTAGTGAGAAAAAAATAAAAGACAACAGTATCAAAAGCTTGTACAGAGCCTAACGTTAACATACAACAGCCGATCTCTGTCAAACCAGCTCGTAGAGAGCTAAACAAAATAAGTTACTATGGTAGATCTGACATTCAGAAACCATAAAATGAATATGTCCGTTTATGGTGAAAACAAACCTGAATGTCTTATATCATCAGTTAGTGGAAGCTCTGTGATGATATGATCAGTTTTTTTGTAGACTAGGTTCAATCTATAATGACCATTATTTCCAGATGGAGCTTCTTTATTTCAGAAAGACAGTGCACAATTCATACTGGTTAAATATTGCCTCAAAGAACACGAAGAAGAGTTCGGACACCCAACTTGATCACCACAGTCACCAAGTGTACATTTTATCGATCCTTTACGTCTGTTCTTGAAACCAAATTTCGAAGCAGGTTTCCATCACCAACATCACTTTTTCCACACTTTTTCCAAATGTTTTTTATTTTTTCAGTAAACCTTTATAGATTTGTTTGTTTTTGAATTTCGCGCAAAGCTACACGAAGGGCTATCTGCGCTAGCCGTCCCTAATTTAGCAGTGTAAGACTAGAGGGAAGGCAGCTAGTCATCACCACCCACCGCCAACTCTTGGGCTACTCTTTTACCAACGAATAGTGGGATTGACCGTCACATCATAACGCCCCCACGGCTGAAAGGGCGAGCATGTTTGGTGTGACAGGGATTCAGATTGCGAGTCGAGTGCCTTAACCACCTGGCCATGCCGGGACACCTTTATAGGAAAGGTAGAACGTTTTTATTTTATATTCTAGTTTGCTAATAGAGGAAATTTTAGTTTCCAATACGTAAGAAACTATATACGTATTGTATTGTAGGCGTCATAAAATGTAATCTGCCTAAACCCAGAAGGTGACGTACCACGTGACACACAAAAATCGATATTTAGGAATATTTTTTTAATATATATACTTTCAAATTAATAAGTTAATTAATGAATAATACTAAAATTGCTTTATAATCTACAATTTGATGACAAACTTACTGAAATCTATTTATAAAATAATAGTTCGATAATATGAATGTTCGATGAGAGTTAAACTTGGCTTGTTCTTTAGCGATGTATCACCCCTGGTGTCTTACCGGTAACCCTGAGGGTTTATAATGCTAAAACTCGGGTTTTGATACCCACGGTAGGCAAGGCACAGATAGCCCATTGTATAACTTTGTGTTCAACGAAAAACGAACAAACGTTAGTCTTATAAGGGCGTGTATATGCTCAGGAAATGAGCTTAATTCATGCTATGTTGTTTTTATCTTTCTATATAAATAGTATCTAAAAGTAAATTTTTCTTAGAGATTCTTCAATATTTGAGTTTACAGATTAAAAATACGCGCAAGATTAACTTGCAACAACAATTTCATTCAAATTTAGAAAATAGCATTTAAAATGTAGACTACATTTATGTAGTAACTTCTAGCGGAAGAATTTAAAAAAATCGACAGCAATGAATGATAAATAGTCTTAATTACGAAAAACAGGCAAACTACAAAAAACTCCTATAACCACTCATTAGGTCATCATTTGGATACCACTACTATTAGCGTCGTTTTCGACTCTTAACCCAAGAACACCTAATGAGGTTGAGAAACAAGTAATAAACTTTTAACTAGAGTTAGGTTAGCCCAACTTGAGAAACCACTTAAACTAAACTTGCAGACTAATAATGTATCTTCGTTTGTGGATGAATCGGCAAGATAATTAATAATTTCTCTAACTAAAAATTAATTAGTATTGAGAAAAAATTTAAGCTTGTGATTTTTTATTTTTGTCCCCTTTGGGTCAACAGTAAGTTTATTATGTTTGTAGACTTACAATGCTAAAATCCTGGTTCAGTTATGTACGGTAGACCGATAGAAGACATTCTATTGTGTGTACTTCACTTCACCATTTAATGAGGTTCATAATATTCAATTTCTAGATTGCATCTTAGTGGTAAGATCTCTTTGTGCACCAACCTCGTTTAGTGACTTGCAAAATTCACGAGTCACGAACGCTCCTACTTTTTGTATCAGGCTTAAAATTAATTATGTATGTTGGTATAGTAGCTAGACAAAGTTATCGTTTTTTCAACCGAGATAAGATCCTGCTGAAGGCTGTTGCTTCAGTATGAATAAACGTTTTCGAATTTCTGGAAACTTTTTCAGAAAACAAATAATGCATAAAATTTCCAAGAATTTTCAAAAGAAAGTTCCATTATTTAGACACTGTTTATTGAACAGTTGAAACTGATTTTTATTTTAGACAGCCGTTCTTACAAATAAATTTCTCATAAGATAACCAAACTTGAATTTTTCTAGCATTACAAAAAAATATATAATTTTTACTAATGACACGGTTAGGGTATTTATTTTTGGAATTATAACTTGGTTGTATTATCTATGTCCTAAAGCTGATACCACGGTTGTACTATTTGTATGCTTTATTAGATGTTTTATTTTTTCATTTTGTTCTGATGATAGGTTATGCGATTGAAGAGTCTGAGACTTTTGTTTTTCGTTGTTTTTTGTGACCAATGAAGAACAAACGCCTATAAGTAGGCATTGTTTGAGTGGCAGATTATATTCGATTGTATAATAGATAAATAATAAATTTTAATTAATCAACTAACGCCAGAATTTGAAATACTGTTTTTATTTTAGACTTTTATTTATAAATTTATTATTTTATTTGTTTTAGTAGTTGAAGACGCTTCCTATAGAGGGCAGATCGGTATTGCTTAAATTATGTTCTGGTTCTAGGTTATGCTCAAATATAGCTGTAAGTAGTAATACTGTATGTCTCCATCTTAGGGTGAAGGTGAGGTTTTGGCTACATAATGTTTATTTTATTTTATTAGTTCACTTGGGAAATGGTAGCGTTCTATCTTTCTATAAATTATAAATGGGAAGAAGACATCACAAGTGTATTTTATGTTCTTGAACATAGTGATATGAATTATAATAGCCATTAGAAGGCATGCGTTACCCACTTCGAATGATAGATATAAATTAAGATGTTGTGTAAGTTGAATAAATTAATTTCAGAACGAGCCGATATCTTATTGCTAATACGAAAATAAAATAAATTTAGTTTTTTTAAATTTTTATTTAACTTTTAAGTACCTTTTTGGTAAAAACAAACAAAGAACTTTTGCACCGAAGCGTCATATTTGTATGTTACTATGGTTACGACAGACGCTTTTTAGATCGACACTTTCTACTGTTATGATTGGTTGACATATATAACAATGTATGTGATGTTAGTTAAGAGTGTGGCAAGCAGAACGAGGTTTGTGATTTGATAATCCGTGAAATGTGAAGGTTGGCTGGTTGGCTCAATTAGTGTTAGATCGAAAGTCTGAAGTATCAAGTAGATATTTTACAGGTGAGCAGTAGCGTTAAAATATATACAACTTTGTATAGTTTCTTTTAAGCTTAATTTTTTCGCTACTAACTTTATTGTAAGTTCACGATTCTAACTATGAATAACGACAATTTCTTCTGTGAGTATCTTCGCAACGGACTGAGAAACAAAGATGAAGAGGCGCTATACGTCTGTTTTGATTACTTTGATATAGATCGTGATGGATGTTTAAACATGAAAGAATTCGGGAATCTTGCTAAGTCTCTGTTATCAGATCGTTCGGGAAGGCCTTACCCATTGTCAATCAGAATGCAGGCGGACATGTTTTTTGTGTTTGATAGAAATAAAGACGGCAAGATTGACATGGAAGAATTCAAAATTGTTTGGAAAGATTGGATTAAAGTGATTCTTCACCCTGTTAGTGCCCTGATCATCGTAGATGTTCAGAATGATTTTATATCTGGAACATTGGCTATTCGTAACTGTCCAGCTGGTCAAGATGGCCTAGACGTTGTAAACGTTATTAACTCCATGTTGAACTCCGTTCCATTTGATGTTGTGATATATTCTTTGGACTGGCACCCTCCAGATCACGTGTCCTTCATTGACAACCTCAAACAACGCAAAGTTCACGCTGACAGCAAGGTTTCCGCTGAGGATGCTAAGCTTTTTGACACTGTGATATTTGAAGGCCCACCTCGCACAGAACAGAAACTATGGCCGAGACATTGTGTTCAGCACACTTGGGGTGCAGAACTGCACCCTGACCTAAAGGTCGTTCGGAACGGAATACGTGTGTACAAAGGGATTAATTCGAATATTGACAGCTATTCAGCTTTCTGGGACAACCAAAAAATGTCCGAAACTAAATTAGGTGCTGAGTTGAGAAAGTGGAACGTTGGAGATGTGTACATCTGTGGCCTGGCCTACGACGTGTGCGTTGGATCTACTGCTCTTCACGCGCTGGAACATGGCTACCGAACAGTAGTGGTGGATGACGCCAGCCGAGGGGTCAACATGGAAGAAATCGCCTACATGCAGAAAACACTCATTTCCCGCAACGCTGTTGTAGTTACGTCTGATAAAGTGAGGGATATGGTAGAAGGACTTGACCGTCGTCCTGAGATGGGTTACAGAGCGGCACTGCGATTGGCTAACGACAAGGTGATAGTATGAAGAATAAATTAACTTCTTTCTTCTCGTCCTATGCTTACCCATTTTTCCGTCCAGAACTTTTTACTTCGATTTTAGCACTTAAACCCTCTTTCTTTTTGCAACTTTACCTGTGTTATATTAAACAAACACATAATGTGTCCTTTTTATGTCCAGTAGAAATTATCGTTTTAGAAAGACTTCACATCAGTCATAAATAAATGAGTATTTTATTCATTACAATTATTCTGTAAAGTTCAATAGTCGCATAGAACCCATTCAAAAAGACTTCGAAATTAACATATTCTTATGTGATATGTATTTATTATTCTAGTAATTAACCTGGTCATACGTGACATGGATTTAATATTATACTAAATTAACATAATCGTACGTCATGTAGATTTCTGATTCTGTTAAACTAACACAATCATATGTGATAATGATTTATTGTTCTATTAGATTATCGAAAAAGATTTAAGATATTATAGTTATAACTGAACATTTTATGGTGTGTTTTCTGTTGTAGCAGTTTAGCTATGTTCCCAGCTTTGTTACTACTAAACAGTAATTGTAAAAGTTATTGAAGCTTGAGAAGAGTATTATAATTTTTTTACTCAGACAAAATTAATATCTGAAAATTGTCAATGAAATAATTTTAATTGCACAGTTGTCAAAGCATGAGAGAACTAACGTGCAGGTATATATATGTGTTTTAATTTTCGTAACGCATTTTTAATGTAAAATCGATTAAGGCTGTTGACTGATTGCTTTGAAATATAAAAAAAATATTTACTCTGATATTATTCTGCTGCTAAAAGAAATACTTCCTAATAATGTCGGAATGGGAAAGAGTATAGGAATCCATTTCTGCTTGAAGCTTTACTCGGTTAAATTTAAATATAGGGAACATGAAAAATTTGAAATCTCTTCATTTTGAGACACTACCGGCAAAATGAGCACAACAGATTAGCCAACGTAACTTAATATGGATAACTGTATTCCATTCAAAAGTTTCTTGGAAGAATTAAAAACAAAACAAAAACATATCTGGAAAATGCAGTGAGCATATAAACAAGCCGTCTTCTCTCTTCGGACTCAGTGTCAGGCTGTTTCAAAATGCAAGTGAGAAAAATCACATTAAACTTTATCACATTTCTTTAATAATATAGTATTATTGTGATAGAAAAATAATGAGAAAGTTTTACTGGTGGCACAAAATATTAACTTAGAATGTTCAATTTGTAGAATCTGAGGCTTCCAGTCTTCTGAAGTTAGAAGTTATAATATTAGATACGTTAAATGTGTGAGCGTGTATCTACGCAGTTTTCATTGTGTACGTGCATTAAGTCAATAAACTATGAATGTAAACCAATGTGGAATGTTTTGTTTATAACAGACACAAATTTTCATACACAGAAAGTTGCAACTTACAAAAAAAAAGCATCAAAACCCACTGAGAAACAATTAAAAGGGTTATATTATTCTGTGATTTCTTAAGCTTGAATAAAACTGATATCCCATAATCAGTGACGTTTCAAAACTTTGTGTTCTTAACTCGTTTCGCTACGTAACGATGAAAGCGAACATTGGATTCTTCTATAATTTCAGGTTATGAAGAGTTATTTTAATCCTCTGGTTTTTATTTATACACCCAAAATTATATTCTTCCAAAAAAGTGATTAAAGCTGTCTGGCATTCCACCTGTTATTAATGCTGTCTTAATTTTCTTATGTATCAATAAAGTATTACAAGCTGGTTATTTTATCAGAACCTGAACTGCATTTGAAAATGTATTTATTTACACACGTAAAACTGAATACTAATGATGATAATTGGGCTGAGCATACTCATCTTCAAACTATTTCAGTGAATACTAAAGATAATGTTTGGACTAAGCATACGCCTATTCAATGTAAGTTACAAATAAAGATGTTTGTCCGGAACATACTTCCCTTGAAACTGAGTAGCTAACTTCTAGAGATTGGATAGAGCATATTTCGGTTAAAAAAATTAAAGGTCATGCTTACACCTAGTTATCTTCTTTTAAAACTGATTAACTGAAAAATGTAGATGATATTGGGACCGAACATACTTCTCTCCAAACTGATCTAAACTAAAAATGTTATTGGGATCGTTCATACTAGTCTTCACTCTGATTAACTAACTACTAAAGATGACATTGGGACCGAACAAACTAATTTTCAAACTGATTAACTAACTACTAAAGATGACACTGGGAGCAAACATGTATTGAAATTAATTAACTAACCACTAAAGATTATATTGGAAGCTAACATACTAGTCTTGAAACAGATTAACTAACTACTAAAGATGATACTGGGACCAAATATATATCAAAATTGATTAACTAACCACGAAAGATGATATTGGAGCCTAACATACTAGTCTTCAAACTCATTAACTGACTACTAAAGATGATAATTGGACCGAAGAAAGTAGTCTTTAAACTGATTAACTAACAACTAAAGTTGATACTGGGATCGAACATATTAGTTTTCAAACTGATTAACTAACTACTAAAGATGATACTAGGAGCAAACATGTATTCAAATTAATTAACTAACCACTATAGACGATATTCGTATCGAACATACAAGTCTTCAAACTGATAAAGTAACTACTAAAGACGATATTGGGACAAAATATCTATTAAAATTTAGTAACTTAACACTAAAGATGATATTGGAACCTGATATACTAGTCTTGAATCTGATTAACTAACTATTAAAGATGATATTGGGAACAAACATGTATTCAAATTAAATAACTAACCACTAAAATTGTATTGGGAAAAACATTCTAGTCTTCAAACTATTTAACTAATTAGTAAAGATGATATTGGAACCTAATATACTAGTCTTGAATCTGATTAACTAACTACAAAGATGATATTAGAACCTAACATATTGGTCTTCAAACTCATTAACTAACTATAAAAGATCATACTGAGACCGAACATACTAGTCTTAAAACTGATTAACTAACCACTAAAGATGATATTGGAAGCTAATATACTAGTCTTGAATCTGATTAACTAATTACTAAAGATGGTATTGGGAACAAACATGTATTCAAATTAATTAACTAACCACTAAAATTGTATTGGGAAAAACATTCTAGTCTTCAAACTATTTAACTAATTAGTAAAGATGATATTGGAACGAAACATGTATTAAAACTGATTACCAAACCACTAAAGATGATGATGGAACCTAAGATACTAGTCTTCAAACTGACTAACTAACTACTAAGGATGATATTTGGAGCACACATGTATTCAAATTAATTAACTAACCATTAAAGATGATATTGGAACCCAACATACTAGTTTTCAAACTGATTAATTCACTACTAAAGATGATATTGGGACCGAAACTACTAATTTTAAAACTGATTAACTAACTATTAAAGATGATATTGGGACCAAAGATGTATTCAAACTTATTAACTAACTAACTACTAAAAATGATACCAGGATCGAACATATATTCAAACTGATTAACTAACTACTAGAGAGGATACTGGGGCCCCCCAGTGGCACAGCGGTATGTCTGCGGGCTTCAACGCTAGAAACCGGGTTTCGAAACCCGTGGTGGGCAGAGCACAGACATCCCATTGTGTAGCTTTGTACTTAATTACAAACAAACGATACTGGGACCGAACATACTAGTCATTAAACTGATTAACTAACTACTAAAGACGATACTGGCGCCCCCTAGTGGCACAGCGGTATGTCTGCGGGCTTCAACGCTAGAATCCTGGTTTCGAAACCCGTGGTGGGCAGAGCACAGACATCCCATTGTGTAGC